GTGGTTGGGCACTGCAGGGATGCTTCCAGTCGGGCGAGGACAACATCTACTTTAAAATCTAACAACCCCACTGCGAGGGTGGGGAATAACAGTAATCATAATAATCGTAGTATAGTAATACTACCAAAATCCCAGCCTCTACCTCTTTGCCTGTCCTTCACTGCTGTTGGGTGTGGAATTCTCAGCTCACAGGCAGCTAAAAAAAAAACCTTGCGAACCAGTGCAATTTCAAGAAGGATAGGCGCCGCCACTGTCAACAAATTAGTATGTTTTGAAAGTCGGGCCTGTGTAGCTCATATACCCCCAAGGATGAGGATTCTAATTAAAAAGATACGACCAACTGTTTTAAGGAATCACCACTTTGAGACATACTCTGAGCTGACTGCAAGCCTGAAACTCCCCCAAACCCTAAATCCTGCTTTCAAACTACCTTGAGACCCTTCTGACCGCGGATCTCCTGACTCCCAAGCCTGTGAAAACCCTGAAGATCCTAAACTGTACAATGTCACAATCCCGCCATCCTAACCCCAAGCCCAGCACCCTGCCTCGTCCTCCTCCGGGATAGACTTCACCACTGCTCGCACATCCCCTACAAGGGTCGCCTCTGTGAGAAAACTGGCTTTGAAAGGGCTAGGTGGTATTTGGGTAGGGCATTTGAACATGAAGACTTGCATTGGAGTTTGGGATTCAGAGCTCAATTTTCAGCGCCTGGTGGGTTGTGGTGCATGCACGCTTTGCATTTGCCCGCAAACCTGTGTGCATGCAAGCTTCCGAAAACCAAAGACTGCCGCATTTAATTCCATGACAAGATTCTGCAAAGCCCTGATTATTCGCACACAGCCCTGAAAACGAGCTGAATGCTCCCTGTAAAGGAAATCTTTTTGGGGGAAACTTCGGCCTCGGAAGGCCAGCAGAAGTCAGAGTAGCCGCAGCTGCAGTAATCGAAAGCTATCACCTGCGCTCATGATCCCGTTTACTTACTGGTTCTTCGGAGGGACCTGAATAACACGAGTGATACATTCCCTTCGAAGCACCAGTAAGTCTAGTGGATCTCATTGAGGTGAGCATGAGTATTTTTGCAGCGATCACAGACATCGTTACTGCTACCAATACCATGTGGACTACTGCTATTACTACTCCTCGCCCTAAAAATAAACACGCACCACCACCCTAACACTAAATACAACCAACATGATACAGTACCATTGTACATGAGAATCTCACATCGAATATACAACCCTATAACCCCTTTTGAGGATTCCATATATGGGGCTTGGCCTGAATTACTGTTCCCGCAATGTGGGAAATTTATATAGGGACCTGTAGTGTAAACAGGAATCTCACTGTAGGGACCAAATTTGGGGAAGATCCTAACTATTCCTAGCAGCCCTGTGAAGGATCCCCCTCAAGGGGGAACATCAACTCCCCAATGCTGGTGGCCTCGCATCCAAGTTGGGTGGCTAGTAGCTTGTAAAGGTCTGCGCGATGCGGAACGACCACGTTGCCCGCCTGCCTTAGCCCCATGCCCCGGGGGCACATAGGGATTCCTAGGATTTAGGGTTTCAGGGTGTAGGGGTTGGGGTCTAGAATTTAGGCTTTAGAGATGCTTCTACTATTAAGTTTTAGGGATGCTTCCTTTGAAATGAACTGCGACGCGTAAAGCAAAACGTTGTTTTCTGAAGTAGAGTTCAGGGCTTTCGAGGGTTTAGGCTTCAGGGTTCTGAAGTTGGGTCACGGCAGTTTAGGGCTCTAAGTTCTGAGAGAAGAGCTTATATAGGGTTAGATAGGAATACATAGCAGCCAAGTGTCCCGTGAAGGTACACGACAGTCTTGTTCTTCTTGGTGCTGGGGGCCAGGCGCAATCCAGAGATCACACCATTTGGGCCAGTCACCGTCAGAGGCACCGCGCCAGCAAGGCCTGCTGAAAGGTCCAAGATCTGTAGGGGCGAAAATATTCTCATTCAATACCGATATGTGTGTATGCATGTTTACACACACATTCATTCATTTGGAACATATACGGCTCTAAATTGATTACATAGGGCTATATACACTATGTAGGGCTAAGGGCTTTTAGACCAAGTATGGAGAATGAGATGGACAATAAATTTTACAAGATGAAGTGGTTACAGCGTTTACATAGTAGTTTGTTTGGGTCACCACTTTGAAGTTCCCTACGATGAAGACTGTTGTGTTGGGGGGTGATGGGGGGCCCCTTTTTGCTGGAGAGACTTCCAGGTACAAACTTGTAGGACGAAAGAGCCACTTCAGGCCCATATGACCCCTGGACTAAAATTCCAATATATGCCTATCAGCCCACCTATACCACATATATATATATATATATACCCCCTTATAGGTCCCCCCCAACCTAACTTTAGTCCGTAGCTCATGTACTAACCCGAATCCTGCATTACAGATCCAAAAACCCCAAAGCCTAAACCCTAAATAGCAGTTTCATGTTCTTTTCCATGATTCCTATATAATACCAGTATAAACCCTATTCTACTATAGTGGTTTCCATTTTCTTTTCCAGTATCCCTATATAATCCCGGCATATACCCTATCATCCCTATATAACCTATTATAGTAGTTTCCATGTTCTTTTCCATTCTCCCCATAAATCCCTAAACCCAAACATCCCTAAACCCGAACCCTGAACCCCGAATTATCCCATTAGTCCGTATCTCATGCCGCCTTGAAAGGCACCGAGGGTGTCCGAGCCCGCAACCCCCAGCAGCTTCGTCGCAAGCTGTACCCAGCCTGGGGAGGGCCTGCGCAGCCACCGGGACATAGGGCGCTACATGGGTGGTTGTCAAAATGATGGTCCCTTTTTGCGTACCCTAAATATAAGGTGCTGTAGTATAATAGGGATCCAAAAAGGGACCATAATTTTGACAACCACCCACATAGGGATCACGGAAAAGAAAATTGAAACTACTGTATGATCATTCGACATCACAGTAAGAACTATATGAAAATAGCAGCTTGAGGAGAATGCTGATTAGAATCGTTGGCGCTGCGGTTGTGGCAGCAGTAACCGCAGTGTTAACAGTACAAGAGATGTAGTTGCAATAGTAGTAGGGGCAAGAGAAAAGACCGTAGCAGCGGCGGCAGCAGCGTTTAAAGTTCAAGGCTTTGGGTACTAAGAGTTGAAGAGCATGTCAGAATAGCAGCAATGACGATGGGTATGCCTCTACTCTCCCCTGCTTCCGTTGTTGACAAGGAAATAGACTGCAACTCGTCACAATAACGCCTCCTCTCGTCGATGGCAACCCTCATTTGGAAAAAAAACCTTACAAGCAAAGAAAACCCTCAGGATTTGAAGAAAATTTCGAAGTTTTTTCCAGGAAATTTTCGGGGTGTAGCGGGCTCCTGGCCTTGATGGGTCGTTCTTATCATAGGGCGGCCAGTTGACGACGTAGCCCAAAGCGATGGCAGATTTCACACCCGACGAGATCCATGTTGCCAGCACCTGATGTCACACATGAATGTTGGAAAAGATGAGAGAAGTAACGAGACAACAATCAGAGCACGCACAGACTGAAATACTTCAAACTGCCACGAATACGAAAAGAAAAGACAAAAGACAATAGCTAACATAGCAGCAACACGCCAAGTTCCAAATTCTTCAGGGATTCAGGCCTGACTCTCACTCATGAGTCCTGCTTTCAACTCTGGAGCGAGACCAAAACAGCGGAAGTGGCGTTTCAAAAGGTTGCTCCGAGCCACAAACAACGAGAGCACAGCAGCCACCAGCCATGCAATACCCAAGCACAGAGCCAGCAGCATGCCAGGTGCCAGATCGGTTTAGGGTTCAAGGTTTTTGGGGATCTCTATGTCGACTCTATGTAATCTGAAATGATGCTACCAAGCTCCTGTTTGCCCACTCAGGTCAGCTGACAGCCCGGTGGCAGCGGTGCGCAGGCATTTTCTGTTGCAACATCAACACACCATCATTCTTGCGATTGAACTATCTCCTCGTGAGGACTGGAAGCATGCACGGGCCCCCGTAAAAAATCAAGGCAAGATAATTGTAGGCATCACTGCTATCTGTGCCAAGACTGGTTTACGCAGCCGTCACAGCAACAAACAATGACCATGCGTACATAGCTTGCAATGCGCTGCCCTCTTTACTTACAATCTTTCCTTCTAGAGATACAGTGGGAGGCCACAAGTCTGGGCGAGTGGACGGGTAATAACGCTTCCTTGTTGAAACTGCCTTGTTCGGGCCTCACGATTTCAGGGCAAAGGCTTCGGGAACTACAGTTACCTGCATCCCGCCTAAACCAGCCCTCCGCCTACCAATACAATCTCTGGAATCAAAATCCCTGCACAAGCCCCCTCAATTAGACACCCACATCTACTCTGCAAATGATTCAGTACGAATCCTATATCCATTCGCCAAAGCCATACCAAAAGCCGTACCTTCAGCCCCTACATCCTTACAAACCTCCTGTGTACCCTGATACAACCCCAGGAAAGCGCTACTTGATACACCTTATATGAGCCATAGTCTAAGCTCCTAGCATCCCTTTAATAACCCCTGTAGCAATGCCCTATATAATCCCCTATATAACCCCCTTTAAGGAGTTTAGACTATAGCTCATATGACCCTAATATGTACCCTATTATTTTACCGTAGTAACCATTTTCTTCTCCATCATCCCTATGTAATCCCTAGAAATCCCCTTTAACGAGGAGCTCCCCTTATATGGCCTCTCTACCCGCCCTAAACCCTAAACCCTAAACCACCGGGTGCGGCCTGGCATTTCCCTGGCCATCTGATTTAGGAGTTTGGCAGCCTGGCTCGGAGTGTGACCACACATGGCTCATACCCTTCTCAAATAGGGTATAGGGTTTAGGGTTTAGGTATATCATATATGGAGTATGTATAGGGGATATATAGGGTTACAAGGGGTATATAGGGATTATGCAGGGGTTATGTGGAAAAGAAAATGGAAACCACTATAGTAGGGGTTATATAGGGGTTGTATAGAGATAATGGAAAAGAAAATGGAATCTACTAGGGATTATTGGGGTTATACAAGGGTTATATCGGGATTATACCCTATTTCTCAAATTCATTTATGAGGGGTATAGAGAGGGAACGAGCGAGAGCGAGAGACAGAGAGAGGAGAGCGAGAGAGGGGGCGGAGGAGGGAGGAAGAGAGGGAGGGAGGGAGATGTATGTATATATATATATATAGATATGTATACCTTCCTGTGGCGATTCATGTTGTGGGATGAACGATGCGCATCGGCAGAGAACGACTGCTGTGAAGATTAGGTCGAAGGTGAAAGGGGTACGTAGCATACACTAAGCCTTGCAGACACAGATATGTATGCGTCTCACAACGCAGACCTCAGGCAGTGTCACTTCTGAATCCGGCCAGCTTCGTGAAAAAGACAAACCATCCAATCAAAGCTGCATAGATCCTTCTGAAGCCTTTGACAGGAGCTTACACCATCTCATATATTCTGAAATGCAGGCCTTGAAGGACCGTCAAACACAACTGCTTCAAAGTGTCAAACGGAGATCAAAGAGCACCTTCAAAACCAACACAAGTAAAAGCCCTATGATCTTTCGCAGCCTCACTCAATGTCGCAGAACTGGAATGACCCTCATGACAATCAGAGCAACAATGACACGAAGAGCCATGCCAGCAGTAATTTTTGAGCTGCTAAAATAATCACAATCATCAGAATATGCGTGCTGCTGGGAACATGGACAAAAGCGGTGATCCTCTGACATGTCTTGCCACCTCCCCCTACAAACCAATGTTCTGAGCTCACTCAAAGAAACAAGCCCCTTCCAATGCCTGCACACACCTACATGGTAAATTCCAGGAATAATGATGCCCCAATGTAGAGCCCAAAAGACTATTGTGCTTATTCTAGGGACCCTGAAAAAAGTACCCCTAATTTCGGGAAACTACATGATCCTTATGTAGCTAGCCTCTGTATGACGGCTTGCTTTCCTGTACAGCTGCACCGCCTGGCACCAGAAGAAGACTTTAAGCAGGTGAGTCCCTATCTGAGACTTTTAGCATCTGGGTTCTTGCTGAAGTACAATTAACAAGGATCTTTTTTATTGACATTGGGTCCAGGTATCCATAAAACTGTAAAATTGTGTTCTACAAGAGCCCAGTTATGGGGTTAAGGGTTTTTGCGGGATACAATACGATGCAGAAGATGCCGGGCTTCATGGGAGCATGACGCGCAAGGACTTCATCATGTGAGATATGGCTGGTATGTGGAGGACTGAGTTCCTGAGAGACGCATCTAGGGCAATCAGATTCGCATGAACGGAAGGCCTGCAATGTGTTACCTCTATACAGCCTTAGTGGAAGTTTTACGATAACATGCCATGGTCTGAGATATGGGGAAATTAGGTTGCACGCGGTTGCAAGCTGCACGTGACATTCGACCTGGACCTAGGCGCTTTGTTGCAACCTACGCTGCTGAAGCTCCAGAAACTAAACGGAATACTACGCGGGCAGATAGCCCGGTAACTCAGACCAGGACCCCCAACACCTGCGTAGAAATCCTACTGTGAACCTTGCCCTCAATCACAAGCTGCCAGCCTCAATCTTCTTGTTTTTATCCAGAAGATGTTGGGCATACTTGGCCAGCAGACCTCTCAATCTGAAAGGTTTAGGGTTTAGGGCTCTAGGGCTTAGGGGAAGATGTTGGGCATACTTGGCCAGCAGACCTATCAATCTGAAGTCAGTCGGCCAAATGCAATCCGGGATTCGAGGATTTTCAAAATTGACAACGGGTGCTTTGTAAACCTAACCCCCGAGCAAGGACCCTATGACCATATGCAATATTTGTAGGGTCGCCATCAATCAAAAACTCCTCTGTGGAAAGCGGGATAGCCGTAGGCACCCCAAGGACATACCGGCATATCCTACATCCCGTGCCTACATACTCCCATATCACTCTAAACAATCCCGTATAACCCGAAGCATGCAAAGGCTGAGATGTGCTAAGCTGGCTGGTGCTGATTTGGAATCGTGTGTTCATGGGCAACTGGTCCTAGCCATCCACGTTCATATCCACGTTCATAGATTGTAATACACTTGAAAGATGCAAGACGACATAATTGCACTTCGCAAGCCATACATGTATACATGTATACATGTATAGAAGAAGAGGTTCTGACTGCGCTCAACAGGACTCACCAAAAGAACCAGCCCATCCTGCATGCGGCAGCCAAGGCAGCCAGCCTTCAATCTGCTGGAAGTTGTGCTGCTGTGCCAGGTTTACCGCCAGCTCCCACTGGTTAAGCAGGACACACCTCAGTGCTAAACCACTGCTAAAGCAAATTAATTTGAAGGTTGGAGGGGCTGGATGAACCAGTTGCTTCCACTGCAGGACCCTCAGCCAGTAGCATGCACTTGGAAAAGCACAGACGAACTCGCCAAGAGCGCCGCGTATCGACCGCCGTCTTGACGTCACCGTGGCGCAGGTAAGCCTGCACAGCCTGAAGGTCACATAAGAAGGGTCTCACGATGTCTCACGATGTCTCACGATGTCTCACGGATCTTTGGATGTACATGGGCTCATGACATCATGAGGAGGGGAAGCAAGCCACGCAATCTTCTGAAACGGAGTCGCCATCGGTTTTGCAAGGATGTTTCAATGTGAAAAGTGTATTGGGGATAGTTTGCGGCCACTCCTTGACCTGTGAGTTGGAAGCTCCAAACTCCCTGACAGATCCTCGAGAACCTGTATGAACCAAAGACAAATTTGCCACAACCCAAGTGGGACAGGTGGCCTCAAAAAACAAGTGTGACTTTCCAGAAAGCACTCCTTTTGACGTATCATGTCAAATCCGGGTCCGTGAGCCCGCCATAATCACTTCACGATGCCCTACCCTAAACCCTTAACCCATAACCCTAAGCCCTGAAAAAAGCTCTGGGCTTGAAAACTCACTCTTCCCCAGTGGCTAGCATCGATTACAATAGGGATGCACAGCGGAAAAAAAGTGCATACAATACACTTTTATAGGAGACTTCATTGAAATCTAACTTGATCATGAGATAAATGCATGACACATATTCAAACATCGAACCTGTAACACCTAGAGCAAAGATAAACAAAACCTGTCAACAAAAAAACAAACAAAAGCATGTAACACTACAAAGCACACAAACTGCGACAATAAGCTGTCTTGCTAGGTGCATGTTGGCCCTTGGGGCTCTTCTGAATAGGTGCATGCATTTTCTGACTAAGATACCTTTTGTGGCGTGTCGAAACATTGCATCTTGAAAGAAACATGGCGAGGCATGTCTTTCCATTTGCAACATAGCCTTTCCCAGCGCCGTTCCTGCTTTCCTGCGCAGTCGGCACTTGGAGCTTCGTGCCGCCATCGTACCCTTACGCAAGGCTTGGTCCGAAACATGCCGGCAAGCATTCTGGGGTGCAAATGCTGACTGCGAAACCAACGGTGCAAGGCTGCAAAAGCAGCCCTTCACTGAGTCGTTGCAGCTGCGAACCCGTCGCATCGCGAACAATAGCCCCGTCAATTAAGTGTTGTGATACTCGCTCCCCTCCATTACGTCCATCGGGCATTGCCATAGCTGGCAAACAGCTTGTTGCATTTCCCTAGCGTAGCCGTCATCAAGAGGTGTCTGCCGAGCACTGTCAGTTACCGGCATCGCCGAACTCCACAAGTTTCGTCACAACAGTTGCAGCTCGCAAGGAAGCTGCCTGCTGACCTCATTCAACGATTCCTGACACCCCTCCAGCAAGGGTTGCTCTCGTTGATCCATCCGTCCGCGGTATGCATGCATGGCACCTCGATGTCCTTGTTGGCGCCTCATTTTTGGTGCATCAGGACCTCAATTGTATTGCTGGGGCTACCGCTTGTCTCGGTAATCCTTGAACTTCCAACGAGCTGTGTACAAAAACAGGACAGCAGTCCAAAGATCATTCGCTGGAAAAGGAGTCAAAGAATCCCGACCTGGGTAGAGATACATTCCCCAATGGCATCCTACACTTAAGTTGCGCAAGTGCGACTGATGATGTCACCCAAGAGGATCTTTTGATCAAATGCCCTGCAGCGCTATAGCCCTGAAGAAGCCTGGGACCGTACAATCATGGAACGGCCCTTCCATCCATCACGCTAAACACGCAAAAGAACCTGAACCCGGGCCCAAACCCTTCCACCACACCCTGCTTGACCTTGCCTGCGAAGCCCGAATGGCTCACCCCCAGTTGGTAGTTTCCCAAAGCAAGGGAACACCTATAAAGACCCCTTACTAAATACTATAGTCCTTCTTATAATGACCCCTAGAAGGCTACCCGTAATGTTGCGGGAAACCCCAAAGCAACCAAAACCCTATATTTCCCTGTATGAGCGCCGGCTTTAATGTATTACCTAGGCCTTATGCGGCATTTTCAATCCACCGCCCCTCATCTCGTTCGCCTTAGATTTAATCTTGTTTGCTTCTTGACAACATCACCTGATCTCGGTCGCCATGTTGAAACATGTGCTGGACCCTTGTTGCAAAAGAAACTGTGGCCTATCTCATTCAATCCGCGGCCCCTTATCTCGTTCCCAAAGGAACGCTAAACTCAGGTGCAAAAATACTAACACCTCTAGCCTTCTCTCCTCTTACGCAAATAAATGCAGCTGCTCATATGACCCCTATTAACTAGGTTGGCCCCTAAAACCCATTGAAAAATGTTAGTATATAGGGTCCCCTATTAAAGCCATTAATGAAAATAGTAAATATCCCAGGGGCCTACCCAATAAACAGATACTCTAAGCCCCGGTTGGACCTGCTCGCAGAGACCCACAGAGGCGAACTTGTTGCCCACCTCTGTGAGGAGCGGACTGCCTGCAAGAAGAGTAAAATGGTGGGCTCAAGGGGGTTTAGGGTTTAGGGTTAGGGTTTAGGGTTTAGGGTTAGGGTTTAGGGTTTACGGTCTAAATATCCTGCATGACCCTATGTACTGTGTACTTCGGTATAGTCGTGAATTATGGTACTATGGTCTACTAGAGTCATGCAGGATTTTGAGTATCACAGTAGTGATCTCGCAAATGGTAGCGGTGCTGCTGCCCATAATGTACCAATTTAGGAGCTTGCAGCTTTAGTTGTCTTAATGGTAGCAGTAGTCAGTAGTAGCCTTCGTAGTAGAAGATGAAAAGGAGAAGAGCTTAGAGTAGTAGTAGTAGTAGTAGTAGTAGTAGTAGCAGTAGCAGCAGCAGCAGCAGAGTAGTAGTAGTAGTAGTAGTAGTAATTGCTGCTGTTGTAGCAGTAGCAGTAGAAGTAGAAGCAGCAGCAGTTGTAGTAGTGGCGACACAAAAAACAAAAGTACTGCTACTCATGCGACTACTATCAGCAATGATAGTAGTACTAGTACCAGGAATGGCAGAAGCGAAGCACAACAAACAGACTAGAACTATTACTTCCCGTGACCCCTCTACAGCTACTGGTACCGCTGCTGTTAATACCACCAAAACCCACCTTTACCACCACCGCAAAAACAAGCAAGCACTACAACAACTGCTGCTACAGTGAAGGCTACCAAGCCTGACAATGTCTTGGGGTTGCGAAAGGCCAGGTCCCTACTTTCCAGTCCTGATGCCCTTGTGCAGTAGGAATCAACAACAGCCTTCTGGCAGCTGAGGAATCAGTCTCTCCAGGGAGTCGTAGTCCTGCCCAAAATCTCTCCAACGTTTCAAGGCCCCAGAAAAGCGCCACAGAATTTTCTGGTCACATGCCCTTTGATGAAACGTATTTAGGATCCCTTTTTGGGACCACAAGGGCATCTGCTTGTTCTGATTCCCCCTATAATCTCCACTCCTCCTCAACGAATTCCACTCTGGGGCTGTGGTATGAAATCTAAGACAGCTAATATTTGGTACAAATACATGGGATTCTAGCCGGGATGTCCTCTGGCCGTCGGGAAGCCAAAAGGCCGGAGTTGTTATGGTTCCCCGAAAGTGCCCATACAAACTCAGTAGTCTTCCTAAGCAAACCTTGGCGCACCCGCCTAACCTGCAACAAAGCTCCTCCAGGAAGTAGTACGTGTCGACCAGGGCAGCATTATTTCCCGCCTGCACGCAGCAGTCCATCCGGTGGGCGCATGTGTGTCAAAAGTATGGCCTGCGTAGAATCGTAGAATGAATGTGAGCGCTATCCTTTCATAGAGTTAACCAAAAACAAGGCGCACAATTAGGACACAGACTCAACTCGCAGCATTTGGCAGCCCTTCCCCATTAAGATTGGACATTCGGACATTCCATTTTACGTTAGTTTGCCGGGAAGTCCTCCAAACTATGAAGGGGAGGGTCAAGGCGCCTTGGCGTAGTAGTTGGCAGCATTTGGCCACCTTACACAAATTTTGCAACAACGCAGGTGCAGCAAAGTGCTGCATGCAGTTCGCAAGCAAGTCTTCGTCATCTGGGCGTAGAACCCTAGACCCGAAGCCCTGAACCCCATGCCCTTTCTCCCATGTGGTTGCATACCTCTCGAACTGGAACGTCAAGAGCTTGTCTATGACAGGTTCCTGAAGTCTGAAGGATAGTAATCCGACACTTGTACAAAATTCCATGAATGACCGGAAATCTTTGCCAGATGTAAGAATACTGGGTTGAGTTGGTTTAATACACCCCGAATAACCCCAGCCTCAAACCCCATTAAAAAAAAAAAAACGTGAAACCTAAGCTCCTAAACCCTCAACCCGAAATCAAAAGCGTCAATCATTCAGGCTTCTGGAGTACCTCATGAGTACCTCTGCTGAAAAGGCAAGTGGCTTGCAGCGGTCTGCATAATAGTCACCAATCGCACTCCACGCTTGGTGCAGCAGCTCCTTGAATAGGGGTAAGCTCAGGGCTCAGTGTTGAGGATGTGGAGTTGAACCCTAAATCCTAGTCCCTGAACCATCCTAAACCCTTAGGGTTAAGGGTTTTAACGCGAGCGCTTAGGTCATGCGCCGCTATGAGCCTCTGCAGCATTAGCCCCACATTAGCCCCACCAAGGAATCGCATTGTTTGTCGTTGTCCGTTTGTTATCAAGCTTTCATGGCATCGTGGGTTTAGGGTTTACGGTTTAGGGCACTGTTTGCTGCTATTTACTACTATCTGTTCTTATTTGTCTTGCATTGATTTGCCCTTATGTGCACTCAGTTATTGGCCCTTGTTTGTCCTTACTAATCCTTATTCAAACTTGTTGGCCCTTATTTGCCGTTATGTTTTTATAATGCTGGTTCCCTTTTTGGCCGTTGTTCCCCCTCACTTGCTGAATCCTTGTTTGCTAGTACTTGCTGTGAATTGCTGTCATTTTTTGAGGGGCTCTTGTCGGAAGACTCATAGAGCATCTGTGCTTAGGGCTTAGACTTCAGAGTGTCCGGTCTTGGGTTTAAGGCTTATGGTCTAGTTGAACCAACGAAGATTGCAATCCTCTCAAATAAAAAGCACAACCAAGCATAATATGTGACCTGCATCGTCGAGAGTATGACGGGTAGAATTGCTACCTCCATGACAAAAATATCTTGGATGCTTTCATACCCGACAGCACTGTCTCTGGTGATGGACCTGATGCAAGTAAAAGATGACAAACACTTTCTACATAATCCCAGTTTCCATTTCATGTTCCAGCTAGCCTATATAACCGCTATGACCCGCTGTTTCCATTTCATTTTCCATGTTGTCCATGTGATTCTCCATGATTGGGGTTATGTACCTCTATATTAAAGGTCCCTTCATGATCGCAATGATGTACCAAACTACGAACATTCTCAGACCAACCCTTCCAGCGGGTCCTCGTTAGCACCATGCGCCAGCTGAATGACTCGGAACCAATCACCCAACCGAACACGAAGGTCGATAGCAAGGTCCTGTGCAAAGGCCATTGATTGAGGATGCGTCAAGGTGTGTGCGTGCATGCGCGTGCGGATCTAGCACGGCTTGTTATGTTCGATGATTCCCACCATATGAAAAAGCCGCACCCTACACGACTACAACGGGCCTTGACTGCATGTTCTGCAACATCGAGGTTCTGCAAAAAAACAGCCTTGCGGTCGATCTCCCTGTACAGGCTCTCGGCTTCGTCGAACCGCTGGAAATATGCCGCAACCTGGCAGCAGATCGTTCACGGGCAATGGCACTGAGCGAGCGCTTTGCAATTGTTTCACATCTGACCCTCGGCTCTCTGCTCCACTTCTCGGAACGCGTTAAGCGCGCCTCAGCCTTCTGCTTGACCCGGTCATCCTTCGCAAGCCAACCAAGCGGACAGTCACAGCGCAAAAACTTAAACAGGAAAATCACATGGCAGTCCGCAAGTGTGAGGCTCATGTATGATCACCAGTCAGTCCCGATATCAAGTTTGCAGAGAAGCTCAAGGCAGTCTCTATGGAAATGTTTGAGCCCCCGCGGTCCAGAAGGCGTAGGCGCTTGACGAGCTGGATGCCCTGGGCTCCGGTCAGGAATGTGGCGGAGGATATTTGAATACTGTACTGTAGTGTAGCGAATAAATAATGACATGTTGAGGTCAACTTGAGGTACCCCATATACATGAAGTTGTAGTGCCCTCGATTCGCATCGTGCACCGAAGAGGCACCCTATGCAACAATCATACAAACAACCTAGGACCATGAGATTGGTATTCCTCTACATGAACTTTTGTGCTATTTGTGTGCTGGACATCATGATCAACCGGCGCCTTAGCTGAGACTCGTCTACGGCTCCATACTTTGCCACGGTTAAGGGGTTTAGAGCTTTTGCAAACAAAGCCATGACCGATACTGGTGAGCGGCAGGGAGTGAAGATTGAAAAGTACTGTATCATTGATGATTAGACAAGGACCGCTCATAGGAATCCAATGCTCCATCCCCTCCTAACCACCTGCAACTTCACCTTACCCTAATCCACCTACAGGCTCCCTACATCCCTCAAGTAGAATATTAGGATTATATTGGGGTTATATTGGGATAATGGAAAAGAAAATGGAAACTACTATTTAGGGTTTAGGGTTTAAGGGGTATTGTGAAGCCCTTTTTCACCAACTCACAGCTGGTTTTTGACACAACCAAACCTGGAAACCCTACCTTAAACCCTAAACCCTATAGTCCCCCTTAAGTAGATAGAATACGGCTTTGGGTATACTATAATAGGATCCCCATATACACCATATTCTATCTACTTAAGGGGGATTATACCCTAAACCCCAAACCCTAGATAGTAGTTTCCATTTTCTTTTCCATTATCCCAATATAACCCCAATATACTCGTAATATTCTACTTTAGGGGTTTAGGGTTTGGGATATACCCAAAACTCTGAACCCGAAATCCCTAAATCCATGGCTAAGCCGGCCTGGTAATCCTCGAAGCGCACAAAAGCCTTCTCAGCCACGCTGAACTCGAGCTGTTCTAAGGCCGCCTCTGCCAGCAGCCTTCGCAGGGTTTAGGGTTCAGGGTTTAGAGTCTAGGGGGTCTGGGGTTTAGGGTTTAGGGTTTAGGGTTCAGGGTTTAGAGTTTAGGGGGTCTGGGGTTTAGGGTCTGGCTATAGTATAGGGTTTAGGGTATAGGATATAGGGTCTAGGATTTAGGGTGTAGGGTTTGCGTTTTTGGGTAAAGGGTTTGGGGCACAAGGCCCCTGACAGGGCTTACAGGGATTGTGCACGTAGGTGTTTTGTAGGGATACCACTACCCCGATAATGGGACATGAAATGGAAGCTGGGGGTTAAAGGAACCTTGATGCTTTGGGATTCAGGGCTCAGGGTTTAGGAATTGGAGTTGCGGGTTGGGATTTAGGGTTAAGGGCCCAAGTGTGTAGATCTAGGTCCTCCCGTGATTCTTCCACAGACTGTTTAGCCACCCTGCTATGGGTGGTGACAGGCTAATGCGGGCGTGTGAGGTACTCAACAAGCACCTCACTCTTCTACTGAATTGTTTGGCATGATTTGTGTCGTCCACTGCTGCGTTTGCCGCTAAAACAAATCACCAGGCCACAAGAGATTTCAAGAGCAGGTTCAAGTGGGGGACGATCAATGTATCTCAAGCAGCTGCTGTACACACCAGCGCTGGCTTAACATCGGCAGGACCGCTTGTGCAAAAAATATCCCTTGCATGCAAACTGCAAAATCAAAGATCAAAGTGCACTTTCTGGCATGTGTTATGATCTCACCCTTGCGCAGGCAACGGCAGGCTGGCACAAAGTAACTTGGTTCAGCCGTCGTACACACCCTTCATCCTGGCATGCCCTGATGAGCTGCTGCGCATTTTTTTCCCTCAGCTCTGATGGCACACATGGTGGGGGGGATTTCTCAAAACAGGTACCCCTAGGAACCTGAAGGACACATGTGACATATTCCCTATGCCTGGAAAGGATTCTACAAGGGTAGTTTTGAGAAACTCCCTGGTCTTCTCAGCAGGATTTCCTCATCGAGTGCGCTCCGCTGGGCACAGCATCGATACAAACGTCTATGACTTTTCCCGGAAGCTCACAGTCGGAACTATCCTGGTAAGTATGATGAGGGAAACATAGCCGTGATTCCAGGATGCTCTCCGAAAGTAGTTCCCAGAGTTTGCATCGCCCGGCGCACCCGAGGCCACCCCGTGCAAGTCCCAGAAACAATTGCCTCGCATAATAGAGGAGCCCAATGACTTTTGAAAGAGAGGTTAGCAAGTTTGGCAGTAAAGTGTGGCATGGTTATAATAAAGGTGCTAAGAATAGAGCCTACATGACGCGTCATACTGTAAGCTGTTGCAGGCCAAGCTTCTCATTTGGTTTGTGTTGGCATCTTGGAGGGATTAGCTTATGTTGTTGCGCAAGGCTTTCTTTGGCATCAGGTTTCAACAGCTGAAGCAGAGCTTTGCGGCGTCGAGGACGGCAAAAATGAGGACCAAAGGGATTGCTGCTCCGACTATTCGGGCTTCGACAGTAGGCAAGGAGTCTAAGTGTGCATCAGATTGGTGGGCTCCTGCATTAAATCCGGAGGCTGCTGCAATTGCATCGAAAAGTCTGTCAGCACCTAAGCATAACATCGGTGCTGCATTGGACAGGAGTCCTTCTCAGCCCCTCCACCCCCACCTCAGGATGCTCAAAAGGAACTCGCAATTTGGGACGTACCCTCCTACTCTTCCACTGACTTTAAAAACATAATGTCCTAGGGCAAGGATGAAGCAGGCCTTTAAGCGTTACCAAACCACACGATACTGTTACCACTGAAATCATCTGCTTCCAGTATTTTGAAACGTCTCCATCTGGCTTCATCCGGACCCTCAAGTCACATGCTCGGGTGCTGCAGCTCTTCATGAAATAAAAGCCACATTGGTCGCGCCTGGTCGGCACGGGACTTCAAAGTCGTTCAAATTTGCGCCATCTTCGTAACTTGGGAACAGGCAATGAGGCCCGACAGTTGCAACACGAAACATGCTTGTCAGGAACTATGGCCGCTGGAGCCCAAAAGCACGAAGTTCATCGATGGCCTCTGTAGCCACACCGCACATATGGAACAGCGAAATAACAATCCGCGATCCGATTTTAATTGCGTGCACCTGAGAACTTGAGGCGTGATGAAAACCCCCACCCATTTAAATGACCCTTAATC